ATATTTTCTGGAGACAGCGTCCATCAGAGAATCTAGCAGAAAAATACAGGGAACTGGGAATTTAGTATGAAAAGTATAGTCTTAACAATGAACTTTCCTTAGTGTGCATGGTGGGAAGACTAAAGAAATCTAAAATGTTAACACTTGGTTATGACGATGGCACACAATTATATTTGTGGCAAGAATCATTCATGACACCAGTGAAACAACTAGAGAAAAATGCAGAAAGTATCAATTCTAAGAAATTATGGTTCTGTTGTGCTGGAATAATTTGGGGAGATGGGAATTCAAAGATTAGAATTTGTGAGAGGTCAGTTCAGATGATCATATCAGCATGAGCAGAGGATTGGAGGCAAGAATTAGCTTGGTGTTTATGGAGAGCAATGAAAAAGTGTTTTTTGTCATGCAAGTATTTTGGAGAATTTTTAAATGTGCTTGGAAATCTACATTCAAGCAAAGTATACTCTAAATTGATAGATCAAGAAGGTCAGAAAGGATGCAGACTATACTAAGAAATAACAATTATAATTATAGCTACTTCAATTGAAAATATAAATACATAAAGTAAGTTAGCTGCCTAAATGGAACCTACAGCATCATGGTGTGAGAATCACTCCTAGAATCAAATCAGGACTCAGATCCTGGCTCCTGGCTCCATCCCTCAGTACTATTTTAATGTTGTGCAAATTACTTCAAAGTTTTGATCCTTGATTTCCTTACCAGTTAAATGGAGATAATAATAATGGTGACCTCATAAAGCTTGTTGGAATGGTTTAGTAAAGCAATTATGTGAAAATGTATTTAATGCTTAGTATACAGTTGATCCTCCATGACTGTAGGCAGCAGAGTGTGGTGGGCTCTGAATTCAGACTCTTGAGTTTCCATTACTGGCTCCAACACTTCCTAAGTTGAGACGATGGACCCTTTACCTAACCAACCTGTGTCATATTCCTTCTCTCTAAAAAGGGGATAATAATAGTGATCTACTGTATTATCTTTTCTTTTCTGCTTAACAGATCACCACAAATTTAGCAGTTTAAAACAGTTCGGTATGTTAGAAGTCCAGGTTTGGGCTTGACTGGATTTTCTGCTTTGGTTCACACAAGGCTGAAATCCAAATTTTAATCCAAGGACATTTTGGCTATTAAAATAAAGTTCTCGAAATTCTAAACAAAGTTTTTAAGTACAAAGTGATAAAAATTACAGTACCGAGTATAATTTGATAAAAATTTTCTATACTTTTTGTTTATAAATATCATTCAATAATTACAGAAATAATAAGAAATACTGAATGTAGTGTTATTTGCTCTTTTACAAATTAAAAGGTGAGTTAAAAAAATTCAATAATTTAGCCCTGACCAGTTTGGCTCAGCGGTTGGAGGGTTGGCCTGCGGACCAGAGAATCTCAGGGGCATGTACCAAAAATAATAATAATAATAATAATAATAATAATAATTTAATGGCATGGTGGATGGGGAGCAAAGATAACTAGTGAGAAAAAATTTTTAATTCTATATGTGATTATTGTCTTATTCATTTTCTCCTTTTCCTCCTTCATTTCCTCATCATCATAACCACCATTATCATTATCATCATCACTGTGGAGCAAGGCATGTTGTGACCACGATAGCCTATCACTATGAGTTTAGTACTTTTACAAACTCTGTTTTACAGGTAAGAATACTAAGGCTGTCAGTTAACTAACTTGCCTACGTTAAAAGTTATAGTGGTAGAGACAGTATTTCAATTCAGGTATGTTCTGCTCCTGAATCCAAACTATACTTAAATAATAACAACTCTTATTAGTTTTTGTTAGTTTTACTGATACTTTATTCTGCTTTATTTTCTGGCAATGTTTTGCAAGTTCGTTTCCTTGTAGCACTAAGTGTAAGATAGGTTAACAGATGGGTATTTAAAGAAAAAGCTTTTCTTAGTTAAAAAAAAAAAAAAAAAAAATCCCTGGCCAGTTTGGCTCAGTGGTTGGAGCATTGGCCTGTGGACCAGGGAGACCCGGATTTGGTTCCTGCTAGGGGCATGTACCAAAAACAAAACAAAACAAAACAAAATTTACAAAATTCTTGATTAAACACTTTTGGAAAAGTTTCATAACCACAGGACCTTTCAAAGTTTTATATGCTAACATTCACCATGAATCTTCAAGATGCTGGTTTAATATTTACTGTTACCCCAATTATTTGACCATGGAAGAATTTGTTTTTCCCAGAAACCCATTAACATCTTGGGGAAAGGAAGTGTGCAGAAAATATGTTGGGACGTGCTGTTTTCAAGTGATATATAGATTCATTTTAGGCATTTGAGGCACATAGTTGAAGGAGCTATAAAACTGTAGACTGGATCATATATAATTAGTAAAGGTCCCTTAGCACTTTATATGAGGTAAAAGATTCATAACAGAATTTCATCCTTTTACTTTTTCTTCTTTTAAAAATAAATATATGCCTTTTGGTCTTCTAACCTTTTCTACATTCCACTCCGAAAGAAGCTATATATGAATTTAGTAAGAGTGAAATCAGTCCTATAAATGTATTAGGTAAAGTACCTGGAAACTTCAAAATGAAAAGCTTATTGGTACTTGATCATTATCAATAAGTGGAGGAAAAAAAGAAGAGGTAACTAAGAAGAGGGAGCTGTGGATTTAAGGCTATGTATCAGATTGAGATTGGAATTGGGACCCATGGAAGTAGAGGTATTAACCTGGCAACATATTTTATAAATTTTCTACCAGGTAATACAAGATGGCACTTATAGTCACTACTTCAGGTATTTGGTCACAGAATATACACTTTAATGTAGTTTTATGCTCTCCTGGAGGGTTGTTGTTGTTGTTGTTGTTGTTGTGTGTGTGTGTGTTTAAGAATTTAAATTAAAAAAAAAAAACTTTTAGTCACACACTGTTGTAAAAAAAATATTTAAGTTCCTAAAATGCTTATTAAAGTCACATATTATTGTAAAAGTGGAAATAAATGGAACTTAAACAGGAAAATAATATCTCATTACATAGACACTGGTTTTTTATTTTACATTTTTGAGATTTAGTATTATTCTTTAGAAATGACACTAATACTTAACTCTAATATTGAACATCTAATTTCAGGGAAATAAGAGGTACCTTAGAGTAGACATGCCACAGCATGACTGAAAGCACACTTCTAAAACTCCGTAATAATGATGTGCCAGAAAGCTGGAATTGGATTGTTTAAAACTTCTGTACTACAGCTCTGGACAGTGATGTCTTATTCTAACATCAGTGGCTTTAAACATGAAAATAGACAGTAGATAAACAATTTTTGCTCTTTTCCTTGGCAAAGTCATTTTTAAAAACTATTTTTGTTCACCTAGTCCCCCAACTGGGTGAAAAAGGAGAAGGCATTGAGAAGTACAGATTGGTAGATACAAAATAATCATGGGAATGTAAAGTACAGCACAGTCAATAATACTGTAATTATGTATGGTGCTAGTTGGGTACTGAAAATATCAGGAGGAACACTTTGTAAAGTGTATAGAATTGTCTAATCAATATGCTTTACACCTGAACATAATACAAAATAATATTGAATGTAAACTGTAATTGAAAACATTAAGGAAATGTTTAAAAAAAAATCTATTAACAACAAAAGAACTATTCTGTTACCCTCCCACCAAACATAAGGTCTGAACAAACCTTGTACTGAAATGATTTTTGTGGCGTTTGTTTGTTTGTTTGTTTGTTTGTTTGTTTTTGCCAGTGGCACAACAGCTTAACTCCTCCATAGCAATATACAATGTTACCGGTTCATCAGTCTTGCATCCTGGATGTAACTTCAAATTCCAAAAGGAAGATGGAAATTAAAGTTTAAAGAACCTAAGGAGGCAAAAGGAGATGAAGTTTGCTCTACCAAATGTCCTGTTATCCTTTTCTTAGTCCATTCTCCTTTCAAATCCTTACCTTCAAGAATGTTTCCTTCAATTTTTCCGTGTCTGTGTTTCTCTCTCTCTTTCTACCACCCTCTCTAGAAAGAAAAATCAAACAGACAAGTGTTTCATTTTGGTACCTGCAACTGCCGGAATTGAATCCATGTACACTAAGCAATCATTCTAATCGAAAAAGAGGAGAACACTATTGTAAGCTATGGGCTATACTTGGGTTCAGCCACATTCACTGCAAAAACCAGTCCATTTATATTGTTTTTGGGTGGGTAGCAGGGTAATTTGATCCACTTTAGTGATGCTTCAAGAATCTGTCATTGCCTCCTATTTTCTTGCACGGTCCTCAAATTTACCCCAATACTTCTCATCTGGAACAGATGATCTGCTTACCAAGACACGTGTCACCTATTTGCTTGCCCTAAGCCTTCACATTTGTGTCCCTGTGAAGAGATGAGCCCACAACCCTCCGCCCCAGCCCCAATAGAGCAGCCCTGTCTTAGCCTATTGGAGTTTTGCAGCTGAGTAGGTTGCATTTCCTGAGAATCCAGGCCAATTCACTTTGCAAGGGGTTCTGTCTGTAGCAGCTTCCTGCCCCAAGAGCCACTTTTCGAAATCTCTCAACTTCTTTTCCTGGCTGTACTGAGAACGGGACTTCAGGGGAATCCTTAACGTGGTTAATTATAGAGTCAATGCTGGAAACTAAGGGAATCTCAGACACCAAAGGTGTCTCCCTTAACCCCAGCGACTCTGGCTGGTGTGGAAAAGATACAAGAACGTAGGAATGTAGTAACTTCAGAGGCGGTGGCAGGTGCCAGGGTGTGGCTGCAGTTGTCTCCCTTTTCTCCTCCAGCAGAAGGAGCCACCTCTGAGTGAGACAGAGACAGAGATAGAGTGAGAGACTGGGGGGAGGGGGGCTGAGGGAGGGATAAGAGGGAGGATAGGGGGCGGGTGGCGCCAGGGAGCGCCTGGGAGGCTCAGGCTCACACACACGCCGCCTCTGTTTGTACACAGTGCGCTCCAGCTGCTGGCTCATTTGCTCCCCGCCCTCACGCTTCATTGTTCTGCAAGTCAGAAGCCCCGCAGCCACGACAGGGAGAGCAGCACCAGCCGAGCGCACAGTCTGGGGTCGGTTGCCAGCCCAGCCAGCCCGAGTGACCCAGAGCCACTTGGGAGCCCGTGCCCCGCCCCACCCGCTAAGCCTCAGCTGGGACCCACCCGCAGCAGAGGCTGAGGCGGGTAGCTCCCCAAAGCTCGCCCACCTCTTTGCGCCAGAGCACAGGCAAAAGGAGAAGAAAGATCCCTCTCTCCGGTCACCCACTCTTTCTCGCCCTCTCCAAAAATTTGTTGAAGGAAGCGCTGCAGGAAGAAGACATCTTCCTGAATTCACTGTCAGGGGCGGGGTTGCTGCTGCCCTGCGGTGCTACCTTGGAGACCCTGCCACCCTGCTACTCTGCTACAACTCTTGATCAGGTCAAGTCCTGGAGAAGGGATCATGAAGCACTCGGTGGCCGCTTGGCTCTTGGTTGGGCTCAGCTTCGGTGTACCCCAGTTCTGCAAAGGTGAGGAGGTGGGGGGGGAACCCCTGCTGCTGGGTGCGGGACACAGGGGAGTGCTCAGAAAAATGCTGTGCATAGGGCCGGAGGCTGTGCCTGGGGCTGGCAAAGGTTGGCGGGCAGCGTGGAGGAGGCAGCACGCCCTGGTTTGCCCGGAAAAGTGCTCGCAAAGTCAGAGCCAGTGCGAGGGGCCTGAGCAGGGAAGAGAGTGCGGGGTACCGAGGTGAGCTTGGGGAAAGACCAGGAAAGAAGGGAGGCAGGAGGGAAGGGTACTCTTGGCACCAGGGATCCCACCGCTCACTTGGCCATGGGGTGGCCGTGCGAACTGGCAAAGCCCACTAAGGACACCGGGTGGGCATTTCCTGGGGTCCAATCAAGGGAAGCTAGTGTGTCTGAGCTCATCTAGTTGAAACGGGAAGAGGCTGGCGAGGTGCAGAACTGTCTGCCCACGGGGTGCGGAGCTTTGGCGCGGGGCTGGACTGAGCCGTTTGCAAACCCGAACCTAATGCTGGGAGTTTGGGCTGAGGGTGAGGTGAAGAATGGTCTGACAAGTCGGTTCCGCTCTTTTCCGCCTCTACATCCACGAAAGCAGCATCAATTACAGAAAAGCTCCGAGAATCCGCCTCTCGTCCAATTCTAGGGGCCTGGAGCATTGCTCAGCACTTCCTTCCTTCCTTCCAGCTTAACTCCTGGAAATGAAAAATCATGCCTGGGGACCCTCGCACTCCGCCCAAGAGCAGAAAAGTTGTAGGAGCTGGTCTGGTGGTGCTTCCCATGACTTGGGTGAAATAAACCAACCTGTGAAATGAGAGAGAGAGAGAGAGAGAGAGAGAGAGAGAGAGAGAACTATGACGAGTCTTCTGCTGAGTTATATAGATGACTTCCAAGTCCTTTTGGAGGGGTAGCTTTTCAATACAAGCCCTGGTAATGGCCAGCTGTCTGCACCGGTGGAGGCTGAAGTTGGCAAGGGAAAAGGGCAAGGGGGAGCGGCAGGGGCTTTGGGGAGGCCAAGAGAGGGGGGTTGCCCCCTTGTGCACTTACAGATGCCTTAAGCCCCTTCTAAGGGGTCCTCAGGATGCTTCACAAGGAGAGCTCAGTACACCGAGGGTATAAAATGCTCTGCCTCTAAATACGGATAGCTGGATTAAAAAATGTGTGTCTAGAATCTATTTGAGGTTAGATGCTGCATGAATATTCTGCACCATCCATCCGTGCATCCATCCATCCATCCATTCATTTTATAGGAAAACTGTGTACTGTTGGGCTACTGTCCGCCCAAGAAGCCGGGTGTTCCTGGCCACATGCCCTTGCTGCCCCGCCAGTAGGGATCTGCGGCCTCTCCTTTCCTCGGCCTCCCTCCCTTTCCCAGACTGAGGCTGTTTTCTCCAGCATGTAGGCATGTGTGTAGGTGTGTACCTCGCCTGCGTTCACGAAGTGCCCTTCCAGTGATCAAGCAGAGGCAGCCGCTCCACTGAAGGTTATGGAATGGTAATGGCTCCGTAGTTGCTCAGCTGAGTCCCCAGCGATATGAAAAAAATAGTGCTCCCACCAGTGATATTTCTCCTTTCTCTTATTTCCCGTTTGAATTTCTTTTGCACTTTGATTCCTTAGCTGGAAGGAGAAGGGGAGAACTGCAGGCACTCCTTCTCTCCTCCTCCTTTCCCCGCCTCCAAGAAAGAAAACACCCACAGTCACCCACCCACAGGCACCTTGCCACTGCCACCATCTGTCCCAGCTCCGAGGTGGAGGGCGGCAGAGGTGGAGGAGATGGTGCGTTTAGCGTGTGTGGTCGCTGTAGCCTTGCGCGGTCTGGTTACAGGAGCCCTGGGGCATGATGAGTCCCAGTTAGCTGCAGTCCAGAGCTCTGCCTCCTAAAAATACCAGGGTAGGGCGCAGCGTACCCTGCCAGACAAATCAACGATGGTGAGGTTGCCTGTCCTCCCCATCCACGCTCCTAGACAATGCTTGGGCAGCTGTGTACTCCAAATTCTTCAGAAGATTGATCCTTTTTCAGCCAGCCTGTGGGTAGAGGGAAAGAGGGCTTTAGGGCGAAACACCATTTTCCATGAGCAATTTATGTTCAACTTGTACCTTTCTACTTTATTCTCCTTCGGCCATAAGGAAGGCAGAGTGCAGCTTGCATGAAAGCTCCAAACAAATTAAACTTTCAGCAAAGTTATGGAAGTCAGTGTTAACGCTTAGAATCTCCCAGCACCCCACCCTCCCACACACACATGCACACGTCATTTATCCAGTGCATGCCTTTTAGAAATTGGAATTTCCCTGTGTGAGTTGCAATTTCCATGCATTAATGCCTGGGATTTGATAAGGACATGCAATTCCTTCTATTAGTCGTTTTTATTTTAAAATTAAACCAATGGATCAGTCAGATTGAATATTTTATTAACTCTTAAATTATTCATCATTATGGGTTGCTCTAAAAAATCCAATAACATGCATACAGTTGCAGCAGGCACGTGACATCTTATGCAATCTGGCCCTGTGGCTGCAGTTTGTGCCTGAAGTCTTTAAGCAAATGGCACTGTCTAAAAATGTCTAGACATGTCCTAAATGCTATGAATCATTGGCATTTGCATTTCCTTTTTTTAAATAAATGGCAATTTCAAGTGAAAAATAAATTGGTACTTAAATAATTCATGGGAGATAGCAACACTATGCTTGTATGATTAGAATAGTAGTATTTATGCTGAAATAACAGGTTGATATGTTTTTAAAAATGATCACACATTAATGTCTTCATTACCAAATTTACAGACCATTAATTTTATACTTTAAAAATAAATGCTAACTTCAGATTCTTATTGAAATATTTTAAAAAAAAATTTGGGATGTTAAATTGTAATAATTAAGGAAAAGTAAAGTATCCTGTTGTGACTATTAGACAGTAATGCAAAATCTTGGCTATGTCATACACTGTCATAGTACAACACACATCTCCCACCCCCCAGGTCATGAACATTTTTCTCTGAACATTATTCTTGAAATGTTTCCTTAGAATTGAAATATATTTTGTTTTAAATTTATATTATTTTATAATAATAAATTTATAGTAATACAGATTAATGGTTAAAAAATTGAAATGGTCTGTTCTTTCTTCTATGGTCTTGAAATAACTAAAGATCTTCAAAACCAGGTAAATGTCTATCACTTATAAACTCTTCTCTGAACTCTGTTATATTTTTCTCAAATATCTTAAGAATATTATTCATATAAAATATATATATTCAGGATCTAGGGTACTTTTAATAAATTATTAACAAAATTTGCCTTCATTGCTAGATATATATGATTTCTCCTCACAAAATTATAGCAGCATAAAGTAAAGGGATAAAGTATACATGACTAAAATAAAATGGCTTGGTTACTCAAACCATTATAAAATATAAGTTCACAGTTTTGAGAGTCTAAATTTGTAGCCCAAACTCCTAATTTCACTGATATTAATTAAGATAAACATTTTAATTTGGTAATTTATTTTTAAACTTTTTGTCTTTTGCAGGGTTTTGAATAATGGGATGGACTGTATATGTTATAATTTGTGTACAGTTTTTAAAACTTGCTAGATTTGAGAGTTTCTAAAGCCTAAAAAACTAATTCTGATATTCATTGTCACTGAACACACTTGCAAATGTAATAGCGTTGAGTATGATTTATTATACAGTAGGTTCATTAGACTGTATCCTTGCCAGAATAAAACAAAACAAATAAACAACAACAAAAAAACAAAAATGCAGGCTTCAGAACTCAGTTCAAACCAGAGTAAATCCGAATGAGTAGGTATTGAGAAACAAATTTTGTGAATATATAATCAATGGTATGACTTCTGTCAGAACTAATTAATTTACTCTTTATATACTTGAGTTTATTTCTTAAGTAGTTTGCAAACTGACACTTGTGAAAACAACAACAGTAGAATATCAAAGCCTAGTCATTCCTATTATTCAGATTTTATCTCTATTTTAATGAAGATGCCTGGCATGTTTTTGTTTTTTTACATCATTGCTGATGTAATGCTTTTACTATCTGTTGGCTAATCAAAGCAAACATGTATGTATATACAAAGAGTCAAATGGTTACCCATGTGGGGTAGGTATTGACAATTTTCTTATAGTTAAGTGATAATGCTAGAAATGCAGTAATATAAATACATAAGAGGAATGAATCACCTCTTAATTGTCACTTAAAATACCTCTAAGAAGTCAGATTTGAGAAAACTGTTGAAGGGAAAAGTAGATTGGGATCAACTCTGCCCTTGCCAGCAGGTGTCAGGATAATCAGTGGAGATCTTTTAAAGGAAAGATGGAAAAAAAGAAAAGAAGTAACTAGTGAATGCCAATCTTCAGGTCCACATAAAGTGAATTTTTACTCAGTATGAAACTGATGTGATTAGTTTTCAGTGCTCCCCTGAAAAAGAGAGGGCCCACTGCTTGTACCACAAGATTCTAAATTGGGAACAGTGTTGTTCCTACTGCCACAAACAAGCACACTTCTAGGGTAAACCACTCTTTCCCAGGGGTCTCCTCAGCATCTTCAACGGAAATGCGTATAGAATTAACAAGGTACTTGTAGCAAAGCAATTATTATTGAAATGTATGGCATGCTTTTAAGTGTATTCTCCACACCAAATATATATTTTATGAATAGAAATTCTGTTATATGAATTTATAACTATATATTATATACATCTATAGTACTGGTAAGAGATGACTGCATGTCCTTTTCTGTCATGATAGTCAAGTGTATGTTTTTTAGAGTTTTCAAGTTTCTAAATAACATAAACTGTGTGTCCAAAAGAGACTAAATGACATTATAAAGTTGTATTACTCATTTTGGCCCATTATTAATCTTTACATATGTGCCTATTATGTATCAACTTTTCAGTCCCTTGACATCATTTATTTGTTTCTAACTGATCCTTACCTGATAACCTGTCCTTGCAAAGTAGTCCTGGCATCTGCTAATGTAGCCCTTAAAGCCAGGTTACA